CATTAAAATTTATAAAAAGACAAACCCATCTACACAGATTTTATATATTTATTACATTTATATGACCACCCATATCACTTGCATGTGATTCTGGGCAGTGTACATAGTTAAAACAAACACAAATAAAATCATAATTGTCTACCATTAAAAAAAAAATAAAATTAAAAGCTACATTTAAAAACACAATAATAAAAAACAGAGGAGAGTCCACTTTAACTATATACAATATAACTATTTAACAGTCTCCACTCTTGGGATCCCCAAGCCCGATGGCACATCCGAGTTTTGAGGGCCTTCCGGAAGGTTGGTGCCAATCTCATCTTGGGGGGAATGATGTTCCAGAGGGCAGGTGCCATGGCAGAAAAGGCTCTCTTTCTGGATCCCGCCAAATGAAAGTCTTTGGCTGATGGGACCCACCACTTGCCTCTTCTGCCAGACCTGATGGGATCGGTAGTTGTAATTGGGGAGAGGTGAACTCTCAAATAACCTGGCCCCATGCCATATTATTATACTTTTTCCAGAACAACTTCAAGTAGGGATGGATAAGCTTCAGCCCCAGGACCACATGAGACCCCTTTTTGTGGCTTCTGAACCCCCCTCCCCTTGACCATGATGATTGACACTTCATGGCAAACGTCCTTGCAAAGTTGAGATGAGCAGCACCCAAAAGCCAAAGTGTAATTCAGGGTTCAAAAATATCTACACTTGTTCCCCAAAAAACTAGAAAAAGGAAAAGACCACTTCTACCCATGTGTAGAATGTGGCTCCACATTCTGCAATCTCTATCCTTCAAACAGTAAATGAAGTTTTCAGCCATCAATAGACAGAACAGAAAGAGATCCTTCACCACAGCTGAGAGTGCAGGCTAGCTTAGAGAAACTCCAGTATAATAAGAGAATAAGGAGAGCAAGGCTAGATCAGATTAGAGGCTGATCTTGTCCAGCATTTTGCTCCCACACTGGCCAACCAGATGTCTTTTGGGAAACATATAGAGAGGACACAAGGGTAATATCATCATTCAGGCCCAGCATCACAGAGAATGCCTGACTTTTATAGAGGAGATGAAATGTAGGCTGATTAACCTATAGCCATCCATTGCCTTAACCTCCATGGATTAGGTGGTTGAGAACAACTGTCAGGCCCAGCCCAAGAACAACGATGAAATGGTCCAGTCCAGTCCAGTTCCTTTATCAGCTTACACCCTAGAGAAAGAATCTTGCCAGACTAAATCTATACTACGGCAACTAGTGGATATACCCTGGGAGTTTCTACAGAGTGGCTATCCTGAACCTCTTTCGCTTCCCGCGCTCCCCCTGTGGACTCTGCTGCCTCTTGCCTCCTTCCCCCTCCTGGAATGCACCCCTCCTTCCTGATAGCCTTGATCTCCCACATCACTCTTGTCCTTGTAGATACATTCCATCACCACAACTCTTGCCTCCAACAGTGAAGAAGAGCCATTTTACTGGTTGGTTGGCTGGTTGGTTCATTGGTTTAATGATTGATTTTCAACTCCTAGCGACCACAAAGGTTTTCTCCATGATGATCTGTCCCCAGCCTGGTCTTTCAGGTCTTCCAACAGTGCACTGTAATGGAATCCTTGCTCAGTCCTTGCTCGGTCCCCTTGCTACTGGCCATCCTCTTCTTCTCTTTCCTTCCACCATTCCCAGCATAGAGCCTTTTCCAGAGAGGTAGGTCTTCACATAATGTGTCTGGATGCTTTGTTTAATACCCCACCTTATTTTATACAACTCAAAGCAGTGTAGATAATGCTCCTTCTTCCTATTTCCCCCACAACAATCCCCTTTTAAAACTGGATTGGGCTGAGAGAGAGAATAACTGGCACAGGTACCCAGATGGCTTCCATATTTAAGTGAGGAAGGAACTTGCAGTCTTCCAGCTTCTAGTCCACCACCTTAACCACCAGCCACAACTTCCCATGTCCAATATCTACCAAGCCATTTATATTATTTTGCTTATGCTGGCTGGGGAATTCTGGGAGTTGAAGTCCACACATCTTCAAGCTGCCAAGGTTGAGAAACACTGGTTTAATAGTTGGCTGGCCCCAGATGTGTGTCCTGATCCAAACCAGGCCACTTGAGAGAACCTTATGTAAGCATCTGAATCAGAGCTTTGCTGACATTCTGTGAAAGTTTCCCCGCTTCAAGAGGATTCAGAAAGGCTGGTAACGGTATTGCTTTTGCTTTTTAATGGGTTTCAAGAAGAAAAGGAAAGAAAAAATGCAATTTATTGTAGCCCAGGGTAGGAGGAGAGGAATGGAAACGGATGAGTCATACGGGATGGTTATCAGCACTCGTTTTCTGCTTTTGTAATTTTTTTCTCATTGAAACAGGAAAGATGGAAGAGATTTGAGCTTATCAGTGGGATATGAGGGCTTGAGAGGTTTCTTTTTGCTGGCTTCTGACCCTCCCTGAGTTCTTAGCCTTCCAGCCAATTCCTATGCCAAAGTCCCACTCCCTTTTTCTAAAATCTTTCTTTTTTGATTTCAGCCCACTCATTCAGACCTAATTGTTCCATTAGAACAAGGGTAAAAATTCTTCAAGTGATCAGGAGTCATAGCACACTAGGTGGAGGGAGCAAGATTCTCAATGGCTGGAGCAACGTTCTTGTGAATGCTGAAATAGTTAATTCTTTTATTCTTAAATTAATGTGGATGCACTCATTTTACCCTGGATACTTTAACGGTAAATGGTATATGGATATTATAGTGAATAGGTTTACCACGGACATTTTACCTTATGGTATATTTTTATCATAAAAAAGTGATAAAAATGATGCTTCTACTAAAGATAGTTTAACTGGGATCCCAAAAGCTGCCATAAGTTGAAATGGATTTGGTAGCATATAAATTGAGTACATAAATAACTCCATAATAAGCAATTTAATGTGAGTGGGGCTGCATTACATGCTTGGGTAGGGCAAGGATTTTCTGGGTTTTTTTCCCAGATAACTTGGGGAGGGGGGTGTCTATTTTCTAAACTCTGTAAATGTTATTGTAGGGCTTACCACAGCCCTCAACATCCATCAGCCTTGAATTTGATGGCTAAAGCTGTTGAGAATTTTAATTTGACAGTAACTAGAAGACTACTATCAGTCCTGCTTATTTGGATTTGAAAATGTTGTTCCAAAGAGGAAGAGCAGAGTAGAGAGTTGAAATGTTCCCCTCTCCCCCCCACCCCACCAAAAAAAGACAATTTGATTGACTGTGTGCGTTTTGCTCCATGTATTTTTCTGATAGGGGCCATCGTCTCTATTGTGCTGATTCTTCTGATGAGAGTTTGAGACTTCTGCTATATTACTCATACAGCATCCTCAGGAGGAAAAATCATTACAGCATCTTAGAATCAGCAGACAGGAAGGAAGAGAACTTATTTAAGGCTGGCTCATCTGGAAATGAATGAACATGCCTGCCATTCATACTCCACCCGTTGACATATAACAAGATTTTAGCTCCCTGGTTAAAAATAATTATAACTTAGGTTCCTTTTCCTACAGTGGTCACTCTTTCCCTTCCCTCTTGTGATTTAATCCATGGAGCTTGCAGAAACAAACAAGCAAGAAAACTGTGTCTTTAAAAAAAAATTGTGAATAGGAACATGGATAGCAGCTTTCTCAACCTCCAGATGTGTTGGACTTAAGTCGCATATGGACTTCCCAGCCAGCTTGGGAAAGGTTGAAGTAAGGTATGTCTAGCTGAGCAGGGTTTTCTTTTTAAGTGACAACATGGTTTGATCAATGAACTTAGTATGTGCGTTCAAGGCTACAGCCTTCTGTCTTTCCGTAGAAGGAAATAAATATTTGCTCCTGCTTCTTCTGTTCTTCACAGGGATCTTCTCAGCCACCGCTGTGTTCAGGAAGCCCACTGACCTGATCAAGATGCCAGGTGACAATTCTTCTGAGAATTGTTCTGATCCTTCGATGGGCTTCCAGGCCTCCTTATATGCCTCTACTTATGCTATTATCTTTATCCCTGGCCTGGTGGGAAACAGCCTTGCTCTCTGGGTTTTGTGTTGCTTCATCAAGAAGGAAAGCAAAGCGGTCGTTTTCATGATGAATTTGGCCGCTGCTGATCTGGCTCATGTCCTCTCATTGCCTTTGAGGATGTATTACTATGTCAACCACAACTGGCCTTTTGGGGGATTCCTCTGTCAGTTCTGCTTCTACCTGAAATACCTCAACATGTACGCGAGCATCTGCTTCCTCACCTGCATCAGCGTCCAAAGGTATCTCTTTCTGCTTCACCCCTTCCGAGCCAACAGCTGGAAATGCAGGCATGAGGTCGCCATCAGTGCTGCCATCTGGATAGTGGTGGGAGCAGCTTGTCTCTCCCTTCCAATCCTAAGGCGTCCTAGCGCCAATACCTGCTTTGCTGACCTGGAAGTAAAACAGTTAACGAGGGGAGCCGCCATAGCACTGATGGTAGTAGCTGAGCTCTCTGGGTTTCTTCTCCCTCTCGCAATAATCATTTATTGCACGTGGAAAATGAGACAGTCCCTGCGGGATCCACAAGCCCCTGTGCAACAGGCCAACCAGAAGCAGAAAGCTTGGCGCCTGATCTTGGGGTGTGCAGCCGTGTTCTTCATCTGCTTCACCCCCTATCATGTGAACTTCCCCATCTTCATGATGGTCAAGCAAGGGGTCTTTGGAAGCTGCTTGGTCCATCACCACATTATGTATTTCCACTCCATTGCGCTGTGCCTCGCAAGCCTTAATTGCTGCTTGGATCCCATTCTCTACTATTTCATGACATCAGAGTTTCAGCAAAGGCTATTCCGACACAGCAGGGCTGCCATCCTGCACCGCTTCACCCATTTTGACAGCAGCAGGACTGCAGGGCCCACTGCCAAGGAGCAGGAGGAGGAGGAGGAGAGAAACGAAAATGTTTTAATGGCCTATTTCCGGTCCCTTCGGCCTCAAAGACTTGAAAGTGATAGCATGGAGACCCCTTTGTCTTCTTAGCTAATAGATGATTCATGGAGATCCATATCAGATGATCTCCCATCATTTGACTACTCAAGCCTTGATGATTCTCAGCTGGATATATGGACTTGGATCTACTGAAAACTACTGTGTTTGGTTTGTTGATGTGTGAGGTGCAAGTTCCATTCAGAATGGTTCACAGCAGATGGTTCAAAGTGGTCATTGCTTGATATAACAACTAGGGAATGAAGTTTTGGAACCAACTTCTGATTCTTGAAGTAGGAACCTGGTTCATGATGTGTGCTCTGCAGCCCCAGATAATGTAAGAGACTGGGGGTTTGCTTTACTACAAGGCTTTAAAATATATCAGGTAGGTCAGGGAATCTGTGAGATCCTAAAGGGGAATCCATAAGCACGTTCAGATCCACAGATGTCACATGGGCAATGTTAATTTCCTTGAACCCCAAGAAAAGGTTTCCAGTCAGGTTTTACTGGGCAAATGCATTTAGAACTAAAAGAACAGCACCCTCTAATATGGACAGATAAGAAACAGGTTCTGTCAAATTGCTTACATAAATATAATGGCTTCAGATCCATCAGGCAGGTAGAGAGATCAAAACAGAAGGGAGATTATTTGTATCTTTTCAGAACTTGTGATGCAGTCTGCAACTCGGAAAAAAAAATTAATCCAGGGAAATGCACACACATATGCAAAGGTAAGAGCTGAAGAAAGAAATGCTTACCAAATTACCACATGCATTCAAGCATACAGAACTATATCAGGGAAGTGTGCACAAAACACAAATATATCCTTGTGCAAACTTTTCCTGCAAATCTGTAAATGGTCACTATGGTGAGAAACTTAGGAGAAATGAAATTGGCCCCTCCTATTTTTACTACTACGGCTAGCAAAAATTTCTCACTACCATGTTCCAGTCTAGGGAATCAATGGTAACAAATGAAGAGCCCAAACCAAACCATTTATTTCATTCTTCAATCCTGAATTAATCGTCCCTTTTAATTGTGATGAGACAGAACTGCACTATTATAATACCCTGTATTTTGTTCTTAGCTCTGAGATGCCAGGAAGTTGAAAAGATTAGTGTAGAAAACTGAAAATGCAAAGTGGGAATGCAAAGTTTCTGTTTCTCATAACAACACAATTTGTTATGAGAACGGAAATTGTGTTGTTATGAGAAACAGAAACCTATCAAAATTCTGTTATCCTCTTGATTAAGATGTTGGGAGGAATTTTCTTTTCATATATACAAATGTAAGTGGAAAGCCACAGCAGGTTTGGGTGGAATTCTTGGAAAAAGAAAGGAATTGGAAAGAAGGCGTTACAGGCAAGCTGGATGCCAGAAAAAGGAGAGACTAATTTAACTGGCCAATGGATAAATCCAGCCATTCCAATCTGTTACTCTACAGATCTGTTAGGACTACATTTTCCCCAAATTTTGGAGAAGGCTGGCCACTAAGTATGGATTTACATCAAAATTGGTGGTGATGGTGGGGGAGATTATTTAATATACCTTATGGTAAGAATAGATTCAAATTTCTCAGATCCGTCTGTGAAATGGAACACGGTCTTCAGCGTCTACACTTCCCAGAATTTTGCAATGCAGTGCATACCTAAACATGTATATTAGGAAAAAGGTGGGAGAGGTGCTTAAAACTTACTTACAAACATGCATGTGTTAAGCAAGCCTGCATTCAAAGTACAGTGGTACCTCTAGTTACGAACTTAATCCGTTCCGTGAGTCTGGTTGCAACTCGAGTCGGTCTCAAGTCGAGGTAAATTTTCCCATAAGGTTCAATGTAAATACGGTTAATCAGTTCCACCCTCCGAATTTGGTCGCACTACGAGGCAAATTTCCCCATAAGGTTCAATGTAAATACGGC